GGGGGCTACCTGCACTCAACAGTGGACTTTATTTCTGGAAATTGATTTCTTGATTAGAGCTATAGAAGATTTATAAAAAGGCCTGTTATGTCACAGGTTGTTTCCTCATATATCATATGGGCTTGAAAGCAAAGGCAAGCCCATAAATGAGGAGTTAAGAGCAATCATCCTCTTAGAAAACAGGATGCCCAAGTATTGCATTTCTAACAGTCAATATTCACTAAGAAACCAATATTAACTAAGCAGTCTTATTAATGAGGCCCTCTATTAGTAGAGCTATAAAATGTTTTCTACAGCATAGTGGGAGAGGGGTATATAGTCTCGGAAAGTTCACATGATTCATAGCGTAAGTTATAAAAGCCACCGAAATATTCAAGAATATTATAAATTAAAACGATAATAGCATGAGTTTATCTATACAGATAACTTTTCAGATTAACTGATCACTGTAATTTTTTTTAATAAGGAGAAGTTAACAAGTGCTATTGCAAGAGTTTTGTTAATTCTGCTCAGATGAAAAACTCAACTTTTGGAGAAAACCTAGAAAAAAGTTTGGAGCATTTTTTTTTTGTACGATCCCATAGGACTGCTGCTACACAAAAGCCACAATGGGAATAAATATTTAGAGAATAGCTAAAATAGTTTTTGGCTGCACCTTTAAAACAAGGAAAATACGCTTTTCTACAGTAATTACACTAGCCAGGTGAAGGCATTTGTATTATCAGAGTATAAGTCTGCAAATCATGCTCACTGGACTAACACTGAATTTTGGTGCTCAGTTTGAAGCAAATTAGGGGGGATTTGTCTTTGCATAATGCTTAGTTATTTTAGGAAGTAAACATAGCCAAACTGAAACCCTGCTCATTCTCCTAAAAGGCATTCACCTAGCAACTTCCATGTCACATATTGCTCCCCTTGGTTTCTTTAAATTATATCAATGCCCAAAAAATGGTTCATGAGTACTTCTGCTGTTTCTAAGAAATTAGAGCATTATTACAAAATCGTCACTTTCCCTCTAATTTCTATAAAAGTATGCGAAAAGCAGGTAAAAATACATGGCTTTGGCATAATTACTGCTGGGAGAGACAAATATTTATCTCATCACGTTCATCAAAGCGAGCTATAGCATTTATATTTCATTGTAAAACAAAGAACGCTTACACATTGCACAAATATGCTCGATATTTTGTTAATGCTGCACCCTTCCTACTATAATACTGCTCTACCCGTACTTACTTCCTTATCAGCAAAATGTGATTTTCAAGAGTAATGTTCATACCTTGCTGACATATGATAGAAAGGCAATAAAGCCATAGCCAGGTTCAAGCTGAAACTGGATTTATGACACCATTTTGGATCCATACACATCCCGTCCTGTCAGTACCTGCATCTCTCATTTTCAACCACTAGATGGTGTGAAAAAATAAAAAAATTGCCAAGGATTCCTGCCGACTGCCATAAAATCCAAGTATTAAGGTAGTGGATTAGGAAATATTTTTTTAAGAAAAGTCTTGACCCACTTCTGGATGGTTAGGTTCACTTTTCTTTTGGTTATATTTTTACTTACCAGACAAAGAGCTTGTAAATGATCAGACCTTGAAACTGAATTAAGTGGAAGGTTAAGATGGATAATTCTCTGGCACTTTCCCCTCCAAGGACCCTAAATTCAGAGCTGACAGTAGTGGCCAACACTCATTTTTCTGAAAAAGCTGTAACAATCTTGAAGCGAAACAGGGCTGAATTTTCTGGGCTGTATTTTGGAGTAGAAATCATTCCCAAAGAGAGAGGATCTATATATCTGGAGCAGCAGCAAGCCTGCTTCAAGGCCCAGTTAGGGATTAATCACGGCATGACCACGAGACAGTTGATATACAGAGGACAGCTTAAGCTACTGTTTTTCTATTCTGCTCCATTTTTTAAATTAAATTTCTCACTCTTTTGGGGAAGGAGTAGCGAATGATTTTTTCACCTACAAGTTGAAGATTAAGATTTTATTAGTCCCCATACCGTACCAGAAAAGCACAACCCACAACGAGGATAAACTTATACAGTGGGATCTCTCTGTTCATGGGCTTTTTTGGGGGAGGGAGAGGGGAAGACATGGTTATTTTAAAATAGTACCATTCTTCAGTGCTGCATAACTGCTTGAAAGTCTGCCTGATCCAAGAGTGTTACCCGGCCTTTAGTAATGCAATTCAGTTATTAGTTTAAGTGACAATGAAGTACCCTCAAAAGACATACATGGTCACATTCCCATTAGTAATATATCTTCTATATTTTTATATAGGACTATCTTTCTATCCATAAATCTTAAATTTATTTAAACAGAAGCTGTTATATTTATTATCCAGAAACACTGCAGCTAAAGGTATCACGGAAGATTTAAGGGAACTGTGATAAAGCTAAAGAGTTTGAAACTAAGACAAACAGATGCCTTTAGCTTTCATGCACCTACTTGTATATTTCAATGCCCTACAGTATCTTTGGTATTAATAATACTGAACAGCAATTACATCTGAGATATATATTCCTCATATATTTTAAAAGGTGTTTTTTTTCACTGAGAACTTGGAAAGCTCTACATTTCTGCTTTTCGAGCTCAGAAAATTTTTTTGATGAATTGTTTAGAAGTAGACTTCAATGGATCATGAGAGATATATTTCAGGAGAAGTTTTGTTTTGGGGGGCGGGGCGTGTAAGGAAAAATAAGAAACTTATCCGACATTAAGGTAGGCTACAATTTCATGCTTATACTGCTTATCATCACTTTAGATGAGAGGAATTCTGTTTCTCATTTGCTCTGCAAACAGGAAAGCAGTAAATTAAAAATTGTCCAAAACCATCAGAGCAAACAAATTTGGAATTTGAGCTGTCAGAACAACTACGGTAATACATACAAAGATGAAAGCATAGTTCAAAAAAAACCAAACCATCTTCTGTAGCAAGATGCCCAAAAAGTCGAAATCAGCACAGGCAGGAATATAAAACAGGAAATAAAAACCATAACATACAAGATAATTTAAAATTCTACAAGGTTAACTTTTACAAGCAGAAAGCACATTGTCTCCCATTAAATCAGTTAACAAATGGTAGCCAAGATTTAACAAGTAAATAAACATGCTTTTAAGTTAATTCCTGTTACATGGCTATGTTTTAAATATGATTATAGTTCATTTGACAAAATAATTAATTGCAGCAAATATCTGATTGCAAACAAAGGATCTGAAAGGGAGTGCCAATTTCCCCCCCTAGAACTGTGGGAATGTGCCCTTCTGCCATGACTCTCTTTTTACAACCACTTAGCCCCAGCAGCACGCCATACCTTGCTGAGAATGTAGATAATGTCACCACGTTTAAATGTCAACTCATCAGGTACATCTCCAGTGCAGTCCCACAAACCTTGATAGAAATTGGCGTAATCGGTACTTTTGTCATCTGCAAAGAAAACAGCATCCAATTACCAAAGGATAAAGAATGAGGGACTAAAGTTACTCTTTAAATCTCCAGATACTACAAAGCAATTTATTAGCACACATTTCTTGCTCCTCTTTTTAGAAACAGCTCCTTCATACCACAAAAGCCAGTGGAAAACAAGTTTAATGCGTGAGCCCTTCACTGGCAAGCTGTATGACTTGAAGACATGTAGCTACAGGTTTTCAAAGCATTCTCCAGCTGCAACTTAAAGCAGCTAGTTTTCCTCTACTAATATATTTCCAGCAAGCTATATTTGTATCTCAACTTGAAACTGATAAAATTGCTAGAATAGAATTAATAATAATCTGTGGAAGGAAGCCAAAGTAAGTATTTTGTGATACGCTCCCCCTCCCTCTCCTGTCCCAACAAAACTAAATAACTTCTCTGAGAACCTTTGAGATAATCCTTGATTGTTCCTTCTGAAATATCGGAGAACTTGGAAACTGTTGCTGAAGCTGCATTTTAAAAATATTTGTGTCAGCTCCAGTTTAGGACATTAAGCTTTGGCTAAACATGCAACTACACCACAGTCATAAACTCATCCTTCTAACAGCATAAGCACAATGGATGTGCTGTGTTCAAGCTGCCATACAGACCATTAACTGATTGATTATTTAGCACTCTTTGCTCTGTAATACGGCAATAACACAGTAATAAATGCTTTGTCATACACTTACAATACAGAGTACATCTATTGAAACATAGCGCTTACACACGGTTAAATACACTGGGTGCTTCTGTTACACTGCAAACTATTTCCTGTTTTTAATTCCATGAGAATGGAGTGTGATGAGTTAATGCAAAAAGAATGTAAGCAATACCACTAAGATGACCAGTTACATTATGTATACACTAACCAGACAGAATGTATACGTACTAATAATTTACATCACTGGAAAGCTATCTTCTAATTCTGATAACATAAATATCACTGAACTGGCTGGATCAAGGCTGTCATCTTAGTTTTGTTATATGATCCTTGAACAGCAGGCTTGCTGGTTATTCCAACATGTACCAGTTACATTTGCATGTCGTTAGCACGCTACACCATTATTTATAGTGTACAATTTAATCATGATTGGTTCACTTTATTACCGAAAAAAATCCTGCTAAAATACCAAGTATTAACTGACAGCAAGTGTCACGCTATTAAAAAAATGGAACACTATTCAACTTGTGGTTTTCCCTATTTTGACAAATACTTAGATTTTTATTTTAATACGCTCTGTATGAGTAAGAAGGGCTTGTTTTCTATTTCCTGCTTCAGTCTATGTTCTGTGCTATCTTGTTGTGCTGGCAACACTGTCAGAATGCTGAATATTCACAACCATGAATTGAAAGCTGCTGTGCAAGTTAGTCACCATTTAATTTTCCATGAACGGGTGATTAGCAGCTGCCACCTGCTATACAGCACTAGAGGGCGTTCTGACTACCAGTGCACAAACGCTTCTCTCATCACACCAAAAGCAGCAATATATACATTTATAAAGACTCCCAACCATTCAGAAATAAGAGATTTGGTTACTGTAAAATGCGTAGACGGAGTAATTTCAAGAGGAAGATGAAATCAGTTTGAAATGTTGCACCTCCAAATTTTGGCCCTTCCTATTTCTCAGCTCATTATTTATCAATTTAGCATTAGACAACTCTAAACAGTAAGTAACACAGGTTAGCACCAAATGAATTTGTGATAAATATTAAATCAAAATCTCTCCTCCTCAGTCTTCTGATACTGCACTGATCACAGTTCCCAGTGCTATCTCGTAAAAGATAATGTAAGCCAGTGAGAGAAAAAAAAACCTAGAAGAGCTATTTTGGTATATCCCACCTTTCAAATCTTCCAACAATTGTCTTATTGATTTGGTTTAAAATACATTAATCAGGACTTTTTCTTCTTCAGAACTGCACTGAAATGAATCATGGCTTTTCACACTGACCTTTATTACTCTGAGGTCTGTTCTTACCTTTCTGTGCCTGAAGTAACCCCTGTTAGCGCTAATGGGAGTTACACGGGGAACGTCAGCAACAGAAGAGATCCCACAGTGGGCGAGATACATCTCTCCCTAGATGTTCACCACGAGCATTTAATTAAGCCTTAAAGTGGGAAAGCAACTCAAATAATAACACGGCAAAACTGGACAAAATGCATTTTTAAAATAAACTTATTGCAACAGTGAAGATGTTGCTGAAAGACTAACTATGGCTCTGTGCGCTCACTTGTGAATTCAACATAAGACATGAGAGGTTTTTAAATCAGAAAGCCATGTGTCTCGGAAGAACATGTACTGGTATACCAGCAGCACAGAAATTAAAAATAGGGACAGAAAGTGCCAGTGTAAGTTTGTAAACAATGCCGCTGGTCTTCCAACAAATGCGAAGTTCAAATTCAAAATCCCCTCTGATACCCACCCGCATAAGTTTCTCCAAATTCTCTAAGTGCAACTACACACCCATAAAAGCCAATTGTACATTTAACTTCAGAGTCTATACATCTAAGGGGCAAAATGCTTCATACAATGATTCACAGTGCTTCGCAGACAGAGGTAGGGAACAAAACAAGTTGAAAAAAACCCTGTAAAACACAAGCCCATTCTTTCTTACTTCAGCCTCTCTTTCAGTTGGAGAGGACCCTGCCAGATTTTGTTTGATTGTCTCTGAAGAACTGAATAAAACAAAACCAGGAGACCTGGGTAAAGGAATTTGGTTTTTATACAGTAATGAAATTATATGGAGCTTCTTAAACACATGTAAGACCTGAAAACAGCTGGTGGAATTATCATCAAAAACTTATGTGCCCATTAAAGTTCAAATTCAAAAGGTATTGATTTGCTGGCATTGCTCTGTCACAATTACACGTAGTTCTTATACACTGTGAAATGTTGTGTGCCTTAAAAATACTATGTAACATAACTGATAAACTGAAGTCTGTCGTGTTTTGAAGACATGGTCACTTAGGCATGAACATGAATAAGATATGATAAAAAAAAAAAACTTAAATGTGTAGCAGAAGGTAGAAAGCAGTTTGTTTTTACCTACCCACTGTTTTTAATATTACCAATCTCAAGAAATGGCTGATCAGAATTTTGCATGGGTTGTTTCTCCAGGAAATACTTCTGTCATTCCAGGACAGCTATCTGGATGAACAACTAGCCAATAGTTTCCAAAACTCTTCCACAAAGAATTCCTCATGGTTTTCTTCTGCCATTTCTGTTTTTCCAGTAACAGTAATAGGAACAACAGATACTTTTGTTCAATATACTGATGAAAACACTTCAGAGTTTATTTGACAGATCAAACAGCAACCGCTGCCAGCCCTCCTGATGGCAGGCTCAGACTGCTTATTTCACTGAAAAATACTGGCACCTGACAATATATGCATGAAAAAAAAAAATGGGAACAGTTTAGGTAAAAAAAAAAAAATCTGACAAGTATATCACTCAGACATGCACTTCAAATATTGTAGACTGTTTAAAATTTAAGAATGCCCTTGGAAAATAATTATAAGAATATGCCAACAGCCTCAACAGACAGAAAAAAACCCCAAACCTGGAAAAACAGATTAAGAGTACATATTTCAGAGGTATGTAAGTGTGCTGTCCCATTGCAGCCTAAGCCAGTCTAACTGCAGGTTGTTCCATTCTTGCCCCCTACCTTGTGACAATTTTGGCACTTGCCATTTCTGAGCACAAAACTGACCAAAAAGACCCAGGAATTACAGCCCAAGTATGGAAATGCACTACTTAAAACATTAGAATAAATGTGACTGTGCCTGATTTACACCAATCTTCCATTTTAACAGTGATGGCATCTAAGTTAGCAAACACTACTATGGCAGTTATCTGCCTACGCATTGCTTGTGGAATGAAGGAACACACATGCATGTTTTCCTTTCACCACCCTGGTCCACTGCCCAGATTATTAAACCACTTGCAATTCTGATTCATATTCCTTAACTCTTGATCAGATTCTTCAAAAGTTTACTAGACTGGGCTACTTAATATTTAAAAGAGGTGAACTGTATCCCCTTCTGGCAATGTGTTCAATATTTACCATACTGAAGGCTTAAAGATGGAGAGACAGGTGATGTTCAAAATTAACATTACCAGAATTATTGTGTCTTACACAAGTTATTTAGATTCTCAGTGTTGCGTCTCAATGCCCAGATGAGACATATCCTGTTAAAGAACACGGTTGTTTGTTCTGATGATGCCCTAAACTGCAAAGAATGCCTGTTAATTACTTGCCTTTTTTCCCCACATGCCAGAAAAAATATGAAAAAAGGGAAAAATAATTGTAGTGTATTTATTTGTACTAAACCTCTAGCCTGATCTGTTCAGTATAATCTTTCTCACTTCCTTCTCCTACTGTTCTCAGTTCCTCTAAAATCAAGGTATTTACACTGAAACAGTGCAGAACATGACACTCACTGAAATAGTGATTGTGGAAATGGTAATGGGGAGATAGTGGTAGCAAAAGAAACCAATCAAGCCATACTATACAAATAAAACTCTTCAATGGTTTGCTATTTCTAAATAATTAGGTCACTAGCAATTAATGTAAAGCTATCCAGCAGCAGTCAGCATCAAAACTGAAGGAATAGAAAGAAATCGTCTTCACATTTATCAGAGATAAGTTAGGGCAGGAAAATAGGAAAAAATAAAGGTTTTTCTGCACTTATCAGGCTGAGCTCACAGACAATTTACAAAACACTTTCTGTGAAATTCAGGTTTAATAAAGCTAGGCAATAAATTAAATCTAAGAACATGTTTGCTGTTTGTGTGGAAACAATGAAATATTCTTGAATCAGATTAGATATTTATGATGTGATGCCTATCAGAAATACTCACGTCAACCTAAGTCAAACAAATTTCCAGCGTTAAATAGTTAACTAAGGACAATCAGGTCAGAAAATTATTGCTTGAAATTAATCTGATATCTGGGGAGAACTGTTAGGCTATTTTCAAGGACTTTACACAAATACTAGTAAGAGTGATAAGATGTTCTCAGAGCAGCTGAAACTTTTCAGAAATGAAAGTGTTAAGGTCTGGATTTCTTAAAAGTATGACCATTTAGAACTTCAAGAAGATACATTCGTTAAAAAAAAGAAAAAACCCAGCTGTTGGCAACTTTATAATTGGATTGACCCCACGCACCATTATGACAACACACTTACAATTACGGTAATGTCTAAATGAGTACTAAATATTAAGGCTGTAATGAGTCATGTTGTTTTACACATGTTTTTAGCAGAGCACAACGCTAACAGCATCTGATGACTTGGCTCTTGTTTCCTTTCCAAGAAAAGCAACCCAAAACTCCTCACAGCAACCTGTTCCTGCTTTCCTGTGTGGGTCAGGAAATCAGGCCTCTGTTTCCTCTCCACATGTTGCAACAGGAAGAGCACTGCAGAGCTACTTCCTAAAGGAACTCTTCTTGCCCACCCTTTCCTTGACAGCCCTGAAAGAATTATGTGTATTATGTACGATGGGGGAAGGAGAGCCCGATTGTGTGTCAGTGCAGGTCACAGTTACAATGCAGCAGATCTCAAAAAGGTGTAAGGTCTGATAAGAAGCAAGTCTTCGCTACTTGCTGTGTCAAATCACCAACAGTTTATCTAAAGGTCTGTGCCCTTGAAGCATATATATATATCTTGTTTTTAAGCATAACTGGAAATTCCTTTCTGTCAAGAAAAGTTGTCTGGCCATGTGACTTTACATGGTGTATGCAGTTATTTTTCCAGTCCCAGAGATAATTAGCACAAGGGCAGTTTGCCAAGCTAAAGCTGAGAGAGTATCCTTCACAGCCTTTCTGGGCATTTGTGTCCTTTTCCAATTTTTATGCTGCTGTCACTGGACTCTGGCATTTCTTACCCAATTCATTTGCTTTCTGTGGTAATCATATGCAATGAAGATATGCATGGCCAACATTTAAACAGGCTGCAGATCAATTAGTGGTCTTAAGTTTATCTGATTTTTATCAAAGAAGACAGAGCTTTGGGTCGATTGTCAGAGCCTGTGTCAAGTTGACCTTTTCAGAGACGTCTACATTGCCAGTCCCTTGGGCAACTTGTTGTCCCCTGTTAGTCTCTGAATGGCAGAAGTCTGTTCTGCTCAAGCACAAAGTATACACAGATGTCTATATTACATTCTTATAGGTTTGACAGCAACTGCATGTTGTATCTATAAACTGTCCTTTAGCAGTGACACTTCCTCAATGATGATAAGCTAATTTATGCAACTAAATCTCCTTTGTGCAGAAATGAAAGCTAATTGAGTCATTACAAAGTAATTCAGGAAGGAATACCTTGTATAAATTGGCTTACTTTATAAATCCTTCTCAAGTGGTTTTCATGCATTCTAAGTGGTGCTAAGCAGTTTTGCTGCCATCAAATACCCAGGTGAAAAAGACAGCTTTGCAAATCCATAAAAAACATTATTTTAAAACAGCAAAGGGAAGAGACAAGAAAATAAAAGGTAAAAAGAAAGTGCATACACAAAATAAAGAGGAAATATTTTAATTACCTGAAACAGTGGTAACTTTCTCCTGGCTCGGTTTTCTTGGCACTTCAGGTTTTGAAGGAACACATTCTTCTGCAAAACACATAACTGCAAATGAAATTCTGAAGGGACACCTCAGCTGACAGGAATTACAGCCCACATCAGTCTGAAAGCCACACTCTAAATTTCCAGATCATCAGTCCTGTTTACTATTTTGCATTTGTACAGAAGTTGGAACGTTGTTATTTCTGTGGTTTCCCCCACCCATCCAAACACTCCAAGAGCTTTCTTTCAAAATCTCAATTGTGAACATGTTTCCCTTTCCACTCTGCTCTGAATGTGGTAATATCGAGCTGCAGTTCTGCTGTTTTTCAGTCATTCCGAGACAATCAGAATGAAGGTCCTATTCTGCTACGTACTCTTCTTGCCAGGATACAGAAAAGGAAACTGAGAATTGAAAAACTATCCCCAGCCCATGCAAGAATTCAGAAGCTCTTTAGAGATGTGTGCACAGAAGGCAGAGGACATCTTCCTTTAACACGGTCAGACAGACACACTAGGTAGACACCTCCACTGTGGGAACACAGCCACTACAGATGGATGCCATGCATTCAGTGCTCCTGCCTACTGTGCCTTACCATGGCTTTCAGCAAGCCAGGCTGTATCACATAACTTGGTGCAACTTTAGGAGACAAGAAAAAGCCTGGCAGTGATCAGCTCTGAAGCATGTTTTCTGGCTAGGAGGCTTGGAAAACTCTAAAATCCCCGCAGGCCATTTCAAACGATGTGCTCCATACTCCTTGTCTGGCACAGGCGGGGGACTCATGCCCACACCCTCACTTAAGTAAATCCACACTCCACTGGGGACAGGGATGTAAGTCTGCTCCTCACGTTTCACAGCCAACAATTCCGTCGATGAGGCAAAAAAGGGAATAAACTGTGAGGGTTTTTAGCTGTATTCTTTCTTTAAGTTCCTAAGAAAGTAGAAACAGATTTATCTTGGCCTTTACAGTATATCAAAACTGACAAAGCTGCTGTGCTGAATGAGGAAGTCGGGTATTGATAAACTCATTTCTCAAACAAGAATTCGACTTTTAATACACTTAAACTATTTGGCTTTGCTACTCATCACATCTTATACAGATATTCATGCTTCTATTTAAGACACATTTCAACAACTAATTTTGATATTTTATTAATGACAGCAGATACACAACTCAAAGCTTTTAAAACGTTCCTTATTGTGCAACTTTTATGTAATTGCCTATCTACTTTGACAAAGAGTGAATTTTATATCAACAGTTCAAAGGATTTTTAGCCTTGTAAAAATTTAATCTATCCACAAGACTGTTCCTGCAAACATTAAAGCAGATGTTTAAAGCACAAGAGTAGACCTGTTGAAATGAGTATGCATAATTGCTGCTAACCTATATACGCAGTCCTACAAATATTACAATTACATCATGAGATTCACTCTACAAAGAGCTTTGAACTTCTGCCCTACTAAGCCAGCAAGAGTATTTTGCTGTCTGGCTCTTGGCTAGCTAAAATCTGGTTGAGATGAATATATACTATTATTTGAGCCAAGGGGGGGGGGGGGGTGTGGTGTGTGTGGAAGAAAAATAAAAAAGGGAAAGAAAAAAACCAAACCCACACCACCAAGAACAACCACACCCACAACAGAATGGGGAAAAACTGAAGCTGCGATACAACACAAAACACTCCAAACTATTTACTGTGTTCAAATGTATCCCCCCCACTTGGCATAACACTTGTTGCACATTTCCAAGTACACTAATTTGTTTATTTTAAGCACTCACAACTGAAGCATAAATAGCAAAAATAGATCCCTATGTGGTGTCCAGAGCACTAGGAGGCACTGTCATTCTGTGGCTTCCCTAGCACTATTACACCTCTGACAGGTAGCAGAGTAATATCATTTTCTAGGACTGCTCCCTTTTCCCAGAACAATCCAGTTTCATCAAACACAGAGTATTATACATTGATTAAATAAATGTTGGTATTACATGTTACTGAATGTTTGGACCTACATCAATTGATGTGTTGAATGTACTGTCACTGTTGCGGTCATCAGACGAGCTTAAACTGAGTACTGACTTACAGTAAAGGGTATTTTATCTACAGTAAAACAGCAGAGGGGGTTTGAACAGATTTTTTTCGTAAGGTACAGTTGAATACATGTCGATTGCATTGTGGTTTCATGGAAAAATTTAGAACACATGCATTCCCCTTACTGAAAAGCATATTTTCAAAAAGAAGAGTTTATCAGATCCATATCTGAAGGTGAGAAAATGTCTGAACCAAGGCTCTTTGAATACTGAAAAGGTCCCAAATTCAAACACAGGCTGTCCATATTAGCACACTGATTTGGATCCCAACCATCCCCACATATCCCACTACAGAGCTGTCATTTAGACTGGAAGAGGTACTCCAGAAGCAGACTGAACATGGTCCAGCTGCTAACCAGCATTCAGTCCACGGAACCAGACTACACTGACTCCATAGGAACCCTCTCTCTTCTGAAACATGCACAGTGCAAACATCAGGTCCTCCGCACAAACTTGTGCTTTATGAATCTGTTGCAAGTGATCCTCAGTACTTGCTAATGCAATCGTGCTCACAGCGGAGAATATGGAAGGCTTGGCTTAGGGCAGCAAAAGAGAACCTATGGTTCTTCCTACTGTTTTCTGGTATTATGTCCTGAAGCAATACATTAACCTCAGTCACCCCAGGCATTACGCCAGTAGTCAGATGCAACATGCTAAAGCTCATGTGGCAACATGCAACAGAATCAAAAGATTAAAAATTAAATTAAAAAAATACAGTAGAAGTCCTTCTGTATCATTCAGACACTGTGTAAGTGAAGTCATGCAGAGCTTTAAAATCTGGTGCAATATTTCCTCTCTATTTCTTCTTAACACCATCACTACCGCTGCAGTGAGAAAATATTCTTCTCCACTTTCTCACTATGTCAAAATGAGACTAATCAACACTAACAAACCAGTGAACTCTCCCAGAGCTGTAGATCCAAAGAACCCCTGAGATACAGGTTATTCTCCATACTCTGCTGGTACTCAGAAACTCTAATGGCAAAAAACCTACAAAATTCTTGAGGTGACTATGCAACAAGGAACTGTTTTGCTGGCCGGAGTTAAACCACAACACTGTATTTGTTGATTTTTTTTTCAGTTAGTCCACAAAAGCTGTTGAAAATAATTTACTTATTTAACTTGGAGTCTGAAGAAAAAGCAGAAATATAATCACCCAATCATAGGTGTTTCTACCATCCACACAATTTAAAAAGTGAACAATGAATTCTGCACTAGCCAAGTTTTTTACATGAATCCATTGATTATTTTTTCTCTTCCAATTTTCCTTACAGCGGGAAGGGAAAATAAAAAAAAAAAAATCAGACTGCTTGAACATAAAATGGATACGAGTTTGTCTAGAACAGTGCATTCCTTCAATGGAATGTTGTATCTCCATGATAAATATGCATAAACTTAGCAGTTTCCTCTACTAACACATTACTTAACCACATTTTTACATTAGACTCTAATGCTATTATGACTTGGTATTCTACTGTCTTCTAGTCTCTGAGACATTGTCATTGCACAATACTAGTTTATACTTTGAATAATCCCGGTTTGTGGGTTAATATATTCTATTCAACACTGTAATAACAGTAAACAAAAACAGCTCAGTTATGCAGCAAAACCTACCAAACCACACAGATGGTTAGAAGGTTTTCATTGTGTGGTTTCCATAGCAATCATATTGCAAATCTGGAAGCTTCTTGCAAATAAGCAGCTTGTATTTACATGCCTCTCGGCTGCAGCATGGAACTCCACAACATATGAAGTTGTTATACCAATCACATATTGTTAGAAAAATCATTGGAAGATGTTTTGATCAGTTCAGATAAAAACTGCTGCAGTGAACTAATTTTTCATCTATTTCATAACGATACAAGTAATCACACGCTTGTAATGCACATTAATATATCTTCATTTGAAATCTCACTCTGGTGTCAGAAGTTTATAAGCATACAAACAGGTCTTGGAAGAGAGACCCTCACAAAAATACTTACATTATTAAATTATCAATTAAAATAAAAAGAAATCACAGTGACTACTATCATACTCAGCAGAAATGACAGATGCATGCAAACAAAAAGGTGTACATGAAAAACTCTGCTGACAGTGAACGCCACGGTTCTATACTGCTTTGCACAAGAAAAAGTAAAACATACAATGGGATGGTAACACCAAGAGTATTACTCCTCCACACTGCTTTTTTGCTACCAAATAACGACTCTGCACAAATGTAAACAAGAACTTTCAAACATAGAAGAATAAATGCAAACAGGACCTTTGAATCAAGTCCCAGATTTATAATATTGTGAATTGACCTAAGCCCATAACAGATGGGTTATTACTCTAATAAGGAACATAAATCAATCCAGCTCTGTAATGTTCTTCAAAATTATCAAGAACTGGTGTATTTACAAACAAGATCATTTGTTTAGAAAAAACTTTAAAGATTCCAAGGAAGGAAGAATAAACACACAAAATTTAAGAACAAAATTGTTTTTATAATTTGGCCAGACTGACACCTTATGCTAGCATTAGGAGTAAGGGCTAGAGACCATCTGGGGTCAAAGTAGTAAGAATTACCACCCCGTTTCATGCAGGGCCAGCAAGCTGCCTTACCTGAGGACAGTGCTCCCCAGCCTTGGGGAGCGGTTCCTCTGCAGTCGTCTCACTATACACACACCTGTAACTGCCTATACACTTTACCCAAACTCTTACAGTCTTTTAGGCTAAGCAGCTTGATATCCCAACAATCCTCCAGGTGTTGCTTGATCCTAGGCTTATTTGCCTTGGTGTTTATTTACAGTGGCAGGGATTTTCCTTACTGGTGCCTTTTTTTAGACTCCAGATACACCCTTTATGGAGAGATCTCCAAATCCAACTAGCAAAACTAGCTTTGATAATCCACCAATAATCCCACAGATCTATCCCTTTCCCACAGTTTCTCCTGGATGTGACAGATTACTGGAAGATTTACAC